TTACTGAATTTTATCACCTAGCAATTAGTCAACATACCTATTGAATTTCATTTACATGAATTAAAATCAAATTACTATGAGATTATAATGATTACAAAATCTTTCAAAATTATTCCTTGTTCACCGGACTTAAACATGTACACTTTATCAATAACCATTTTTATTGTAAACGGTTTTTTTTCAATCTATAAAAATATTTAAATATTGTGTTCATTATTTCTAACAAGAAAAACACCAGTTTTGGTGTTGTTTTTTTACAAATAAAACAGTTTGTTATATTGATAAATTACAAATAAATTTTTTTTTAAAAAAAAGGAGTTCGAAAGACAGATGTTGCGAAACTTTTCTCTTTATATCAATAACAATCGTAATAATAAATTATCGGTTGATTACATATGTATATTAATCATCAATAAAAAATTATTTATTCCCAAAATATTAGATGAAAGTATGCAGTAATGTAAATACTATAGAGGAATTGATAGTATTGATCTGGAAGTCTTGTGTTCAAATCCAACGTGAGATTATGAACACCACCGCTAGGAAGTTCAATGCCAAGGCGAAATAGCTGATAAATGCTACCGGGTTTTTAATGGTTGTCTAACTACGATGTTTCCGCTATGTTAACCAAAAAATTCAGCATTTTTTGTAAGGCATTCATGCTCATAATAATCCTGTTCTCGCTAGAGACTAATTTTTAAGAAAGCGCTTATGGTTCTTGTGAGAAGTTATTACCAATAAAATCCAATCATTTCGAGTGTCAGGCAGCTATACATGAATAACAGTGGGACATGGCTATGCAAGACATTGAATTGACTGAAATATATTAGCCGTTTGATATTGACTCATTTGTCGAAATATTTAATCCCCTCAACGGTATCTTAAGCTTATGGGCTCAACACCTAGTGGGATTGTGTGTGTCCACTGTTGAGGAGTCTCATACTAGGATGAAACTACTCTTCAGTAACATTTGGTCTTCAACAGTTTTTTAACTAATTTCAGTCAGTAATTTCAATCATGATATTACTGTGTTGTACAATGGTAAGATACTAATGTTCAGAGTATACAATTTGTAGTTCAGTGTAATTTTGGAAATTCTCTCTTCTCAGTAAAAAGCAAATATTATTATTCAATACATTCATCAAATATCATCAAAATTATTTGTATTCCTAGCTATGTTGTCAACAGTGTTTTTGGGTACAGATTATTGTTTGTTTATTCTCAAAACAGATTTAGAGTAGATCATCTTTATATTTAAAGTGATGATAAGAGAAATCATATTCCTCAGCTAAATTCTTTCGTTATAAAGGTTTTATTTATCGCTCCGAATAATTAGTCTGAAAAAATGCAGTCACTTCTACAATTAAACCTTATATAAACTAAAGCATCATATCTGTGTAAATATCATGTATACCAATGAAGCAAGAAAAACGGAATAGTTTTGTTGTTTTAGTCCATCTACATAAAGATTAAATGGTGAGTTTATAATTTATGGATAACCTTTCAGCGACGAAAAACTGACCCTGAGAATGTCCATCAATTTATTAGAGTTAAATGAGGGTTATAAAACTGTGTGAAGAACAAAGATTATGATATACAATTGATGGTTAGTGTTTGGAATCAGATTTAAAGTTTTCATCACGAACTGACATTATGTAAAATGCCGAAAAGCTATTTGGACAAATGGATGAATGAATATTGCGCCGAAATCCAAGACCTGTTATACTAAATCTGATTGGTACGTTCATAAATTTTATTTCGCTGGCTAAATTAATTCAGTGCTTATGTAAAATCTTGGTATATACAACTTATTAATTTTAATAGTTTTGTGTTTCATCAATTACAGAGAAAATCTTGTGGATATACTATTTCACGGTTAGTATACAAAGTATGCGAACAATTTTATTTACCTAAAGATTTCTGAAATGATACAGTGGTTTAGAATTAGTTGTCAGAGTATAACAACGAAAGCGGATAATATTATTAATTTTGGAAAATATCCATATCTCACACCACCACCTTCGATAGGCCTAAGGTGACCAACAAAACCAACAAACGTTTGGTGTTTCCAGTCACTGTTTAATATATGTTACTACAGTATAAATGTAAGAAATAGTTAGTCTATAACACATCGGATTTCATCTGCCGTTACACATAGAGTTTTGAAATCACTTAAGTTTAAAGGACAAATCAACCATCTGTGCGTAGAACTCATGAAAACAAGTTTTTAATCAAAAATTGAAAACAATGTGATCTTGGAAATTTAATTGTCTCATGGTTAACATGACCAAAGTCAAATATTGATATTCTTAGTCTTTTTATTACAATGATTAACAAATAGCTAAATTCATACTTTCAAAGGCCAAATCTACCAATAGTATTCATAATATTCCGATCATTAAACTTTAATTTCTGTCACTAGCCAGTGACCGTGTCAATAGGAATAAGTCATTGCATTTATTGACATTTACTTCATTTCTAAAACACTAATCAGTTTAGACATTAAATAGGTATAATATATTTGCAAAATCTCAGCGAATGAACTCGAAGTAAATCCAATGTTTCGCCTGGCGATCTGGTCCAAGCTTTTTCAAGGAAATATTTCCTTGATGTCTTTCCTTAATGTCTTACATCAACTGGGCGCTCAAATACTGTGAAACTATTCGCTCTAGTTTAGACGAAAGTTCTTATATACTAATCAGTTTAATTAAAGTTTGGTGGCTTAACAATATATTCTCTATTTATTATATAATATCAACCAATAAACTTCCATACACTTGATTTCAGTATTAAACTTTATTAAAACAGTATTCATTAACAACAATATTTATTATTATCATTATTAAAAGCTTCATGGTGAATAGTCACTTATATAAATAGTGAGTTTCTTATAGGTATCAATGACAAGGTTGAACCTGATAGTTTCAAATAAATTAAGCATTGGGTAAAAAGTTAATGATAAATATATTTTCGTTATATCCTAATGAGTAGGAAAATTGTATTTCTAAAATTTCATGACTTAATGCATGCCGCTTCTTCAGAGTAAATAAATAACCGAGTAGTACAATAGTACTATTTAAACTTGTGTTAATTTAATTTGTTTGTTTACTCACAATAACCATTTTACAATATTCCGGGTTACTCAAAAAGCAGATCAGAGGCTGTACATTGAACGAAACTGTAGAAGAATTGAAACAATTCATTCTATATTTCATTTCGTTGTACGTAGAGAAAGATGATTGAAATTAGTCACTTATCTATTTTGACTTTCTTTCTGTATGTAATAATTATAGTATAGAATACAGTTATGAAATACATGGTAGACAAAGCGAAAATATCACAAACTTCTTAGAATACATTACTTTGTATGAACTATTGTCGGTTTAATGAATTTTCAATGTTCTTTAACTCCGATTCGTTTGTGAATTGTTAACATTGTTACTAATATTAAAATAATAAACACCATAATGTTCATTACTTATTTTCAATAATAGTTTAAACAATGTTGGGTTGTGAAGATTAATGAATTTCATTAAGTTTACTAACCAATCTAAGCTAGACCACCATTGAAAACCTGGAAGCACTAAACGGCTGTTCCATCTTAGTATGGGACTCCTCAGCAGAGCTCACTAACGTCCCAGACTAGGATGAAACGGCCGTCCAGCGCTTTTAGGTTTTCAATAGTGGTCTAGCTTAGATCGGTTCATGAACTCAATTGAATTAATAATTTTAAAAGTCTGTACTAATGACATTTTGTGAATAGATCATGAAGATCGGCTAACGAAATAGAAACGATACGTAAAGTATATATACATATATATGTTCAGTAGTTAAATTTACAGTAAACATATTTTTTTAACAAACACCATGAGAATGGATCTATAGACAGAACAGAAACTGAAGTAATATAATTGTGGATGCGCACTGCTGAGGAGTCCCACAATAGGACGAAATAACCGTCCAGTGCTTCCAGGTTTTCCATGTTGGTCTAGCTTCAATTGGCTCATGATTTCAACTATGTATAATATAATTTAGTTTAAGAAATTATAAACAATAATTTTAATAATGTAAATGGTTTATTGTTAATTCCACGAGAGCAAAAGTCACATAAATTTCCCATAAAATTAGCTTTAATAATATAAAGAATGTCGTTATTTATCAGGTCGATTAATAATAATTGTGATTAAATTAAAACGTGAATGGATGGTAAGTTTCTGAAGCACACTAATTCTTCAACAGCAATATTCGTTGTTCTAATTTAAACCTCTTCAGATCTTCCCATCCATTATCCTCTGACCGGATCGAACCTAAAGGATTCAGATTTTACTAGAACTACATTATCCTTAGATCAGTGAGTTGGAGCCCAGTTTTGTAAACTCTTGATATAGTACGGTGATGTTATCGATTGATTAATGCATTACATCCGATGTGCCTTACCGTTCATATTCATGACTTACTTCTAGGACTTCAGGAATAAGTTATTACAACCAGTCTACTAATAAGTGCTTCATTATTAACGGGATCGAAACATTTTACAGATTAATGCAATGTTTAAAGTTTATCATCCTTTATCGTAAAATGAATGAAGTTGGAAATGTAAATCCCTGTAGTATGTTGGAATTTTATTCTTCGAGTACAAAGGTCTAATCGGGTAAGCTTTTGTTTTCTTACTAGTCAACATCATTAGCACAAACTTCAGATAAAAGATTGCTATCCGAGGTTTATCCTAATGATATTATCTAAAAAGATAATGAAAGCCTCGTCTGATAAACCACTCAACGTACAGAATATAACACCAATAAGAATGGGTCATCGAATTTCAGCTCGATGATCGAAAAATCATTTGATCAAGTGGTCACTCGACTGATCGATAGATACATATATCTTTTTATCAATAGATTATTACATAATGGATATTTCTTTCCATTTAGCTTGAACAAATATATAAATTTAATAAATTATTATTACAATGTCATAGGAAATATAATTTATAAACTCACTCTTCTTTCTTTTAATTCATTATCCTGTGTCATTACACAATAGAAACAGTAGAAAAGTGTACTGATAATCAAAATAATGTGTCCATTATGTTTTTTCTGTTGTCTATGCTGAAACAGATTACTTTCCATTATTGTTATTATCATTATCATTATCGTTATTACTATCAATGATTTTCAGTGTTCTCTGTCAAATTCTCTTCTGGAATAGTGTATACTCTTTCAATACTACCTAATTGAATTGTTCTTTAAACATCAGTAGTATTTATAATGATTTTAGAATACAAAAGGAAATAAAAACACCATTGGAATATAGTAAATTATTTAATTATATCATTAATTTTTGCCAATTAAATGAGTAATTCATTTATAATAATCTATTGTTCATTCTTCTTTGGAAAATAAAGACGACAACAGCACACAAATAAACAAGGGAAAAATGTTGTCTAAGTGTTATATCTATCTATCTATATATGATGAAAGGGAAGTCATTTTTAAAAAAATTCCTTGTGGCACTTTTAAAACATAAATTTAGTTTGCTTATAGATGTATGTCAATCAGTGTGTAGTGGTTGTGTGCAAGTAATTGTACATTGTCTGTTTGTGTATATATGTGTGTGTGTTGTGCATGTACCCGGGTGTATAATGCAATGTCGAAAATGTTTCAATCTTGAAAAAAAAGATTATTTTCCATTTCATTTGTTTCTCTGTTTTATTCATTTCAATTCGTGTTCTATGCGCACTACTCCGGCTACTGTCATATTGAGATTTTGCATAATGTGAACATCGACATCATCATCATAACAAAATATTGTGACATATATTATTATAATAATCATATTAATACGACTAGTACACATTTTTCGAGACATATATATGCAGTTGTACAAGACGTAAAAAAAAGATCATTCATGCCCTCATTTTGCTCTTTCTCTCTCGCTCGCTGTCGCTGAATTTTCTTTATATGTATATATATAAAGACGAAATTTAGTTGAACGAAAAAAACATAAATGTGAATGGTGTCTCCTTTTGATAAATTTTACAGCCACCTTTAATGCTGCACAATTGTTTATTCTAATATACTGATCGGTAGACGTTCATTTGTACATGTGCCCCGTATATATATGCGTGTAAACGAAATATGTGCACAATAATTGTGTTGAATAAGCAAATGTAGATTTAGTCAACCAATCCTGAATTTCACTCGACACTTGTGTTGTTTCTTTTTTGTTCTAAATGATGAACCAATTAGTCAAGTGTAATTTAAGTCTCTGTAAACAAAATGATGATGAAGATATAGTATGCAAGAATACCACCTATCAAAACACATTTTACATCTGTTCATGCATTTAATTTTGTGTAGTAGTAATAATAATAAATCATATATATATGTATATATAATGGTATCTCGTGAGCACATACAAGCATACATATATACAGATGCAAATATATATTGTCGACAGTTATTCATTAATATATCACGTGTAATATGTTCTGAATTACGTGATGTATTAATCATACAATTCATGTTGTTTATAAATCAAATAGGTTACTGTATAGTGTGCTGTTCTCCAATGGACAAACATAAGATTCCAGAATAATGTTAAAATAATTGAGTGTAATCAATGATCAGTTATTTGTTCTACAGTTCAGTAATATTTATACAAAGTTGTTTATTAGTGATTAACTTTGTGAGAAATTTACAAAGTTCTGTTGAAAAACCTTGACTGATGTAGTTCAACAATGTAGAGTATGAGACAAGGATCACCTTCAACAGTGAATGATGGTTACTCGATGTTTTGGAATTGGCTAAAGTTAGAAATGTAAAGTATTGATTGTTAACACAGTGGTTTGAAAGAAAAGCATTTGCCATGTAGCATTAAGGTTTTGAGTGGGATCGTAGATACAAATTACAGAGAAATACTACGGTGAAACGAAACACCTTTCCAACAATTTTCTTTGATTTTTGTTGGTTGTCCAGTCTGAGTTAGTACTTGACATCAACAACAAACTATCGAGATACACCATCAAACCGGTAATTCGGAAGTCAAGAGTTTGAACCCAGCAGAGATTCATGTCATACTGGTTCCATACATCAACCGTGTATTAATTAATAAGCTACTGCTAGCTCAATTTCATTATGACTGAACTGTACGTTTATTTAAATTGTAACTGTATGTAACATTTTATGAATAGAAGGTTGTAATTTTTTTAAATGACTCCCTTGTTGTATTTGGTAACTTTTCAGCTGATTAGAAATATTCTGCTGGAAAATACTCATATTGGCTGGTTAACGAGTAATTTCAGCCATTGAATATTTCTTATGATAGATCTTGAAGATTAGAATCATGATTCCATGAAATAAACGTTTCTTGATTAAACAATATGGTAGTTGGTTTTTCGATGCTCAACCACCGCTTAAACTATCTTTTAATATTGCCCTGTAAGATAGTAAATTGGGAAATACTAGAGACAGTTAGATCAATTTATGGCAATTATCCGCTAAATCATTGACTGTTCGAAAAGAGCATTCTATAAGGAGCGTAGAACAATATCGATACTAATGATGAAAGGCTTTTGTCCATAATTTATTTATTCTTTATCTTTCTTTAAATCTTTTACTCTAATACAGTCTCATACATTTTATTCGACAATTTCATATTTTAACAAAACAAATTCCTTATATTTACCCTTCATATCACAATTGACAATAATTTTGCTTCAACTTCTTTGCTGTGTCGTGTTGATTTCTTGTAGTTGAGACAGTGTGACCACTTGAACTGATACACAACTTTCTCAAGTTCTAAGTTGTTTTGACCACTTGACTAAACGAATATTATCGTCTTAAAAACGTTGGCCCATTATTTGCAATGATTGATCATCCAGTAATGGTCATTGTAGTATTTTTATATTCATTAATGCTGATCGAATTCTATTGAGCAAATTATAATTAGGTTACTAGTCTAAGTCACTCGATATGCTGTGCACCAAGTTTCGATTTTAGATGGTTGTAGGTAGTTAAAAGGAAACCCTGAAACTAAGTTTCATGTTGTTTTATAATCTTCAACAAGGTGCACCTATAATCTTAAGGGGAGTGGTGCTCACCTTCTTATTTTAGTTTAGCCATAAAAGTTTTGGTAGTATTTATATACTATTAGTAGGTTAACTTCGATGAGATCACATTAGTGAACTTATAGGCATGAAACAACCAGGCTCCAGAAATGTCTTTAAAATTCCAGTATATAAACTGATTATTAACTTAATTCTAGTTAAGTTCCATGAGGATATTGTGATCAAGTACTCTCAGGACCTTGAATCATCCAGAAGAATGACACGATTTTTTGACCACAGAGTGTGAAGACAAATAACAGAGAAAAGAATCTAAAAGCAGAATGAGTGTGTAGTTCGTTTATCTAATTGCAGTACGTTTTCTAATTATGCAATAGATATTTTCGTAAACTTCATTATGAGAAAGCTTCCTATTTCTATTATTGTTCATGTTCATTTAGGAACAGCCGCGTTTATATATTACTGAAAAGCTTACAAATACTTCTTGAGATTAAAATACTATTAAGAAATGGTTGTTCACGAATATTATTTTGTAGACTCCGTAGCAGGGGTTTAAATTAACACGAAGCCTTCTCACCCATATCGAGATTTACATAAAAGAATTATTTTTAGTAAAAAAGGAATGAATTCCTATGTCAAACACACTTCTATTTGGAGAGGTAGAGATAAGCTAAGTTTGTGAACTTTAGGTAAACCATGAAGTCATTTTATTGTTAACCCACTTGGCTTAGTACCTCCTAAAACATCTACACAAATGAAATACTCTCTTTACTTTGTCTTAGAAATTTCGATTATTCATTATTCTCCTTCACATATTTAGTGAACTGTCTACCATCTTGAAATGATGGAGGAAACTTGAAACATAGGTGGATGTTTGCAGTGTTATCGAATCTTCTAGGGTAGATGTTTAATAAGGGACTTTTATTGTCATTCTGGACAATATCATAAATGCTTACTTCATATTGAAGTGGGTCTCTTAGTCGTTTCATAAGCTTTTTACTATCTGATAACAGAGTTATTTTCTAACTGACAGTATGAAGAATTTGAGAAATTAACATATGGTATTATTAAAAAGAATACACGCTTGGCAAATAGAAACGAAACTCCAATGCTTCATAATAGTACTATGTATTCATAGTTGAAATCATGAGTCAATTCAAGCTAGACCAACATGGAAAACCTGGAAGCATTGGACGACCGTTTCGTCCTATTGTGGGACTCCTCAACAGTGCTCATCCACGATCCCGCCTCACGAGATTTTAACTACTACTATGTCCGGTATTCATACAAGCATATATATTTACAAAATAAATGATTTTATTTATACTATATGATAATTAGTATAAATGTGTTTAAAAGTTACTGAAACCAGTTAGTATATTTTTTTTGAAACTTCATATTGTTGTAGTAACATGTAAATTGTGCACATTCCTTATTTCCCTAATTTATTTCGTCTCTTGCACATATACACAGACGCACACTCCATCTACACCGTTAGAACTGTCATATATGTATACAAGATAATTAAATCATAGTTGTGTAACATAAAATGATACATTTAATTCAATGTAACCCTCCATAGTATACAATGAATGGAAAAGTAAATAGATACTATTTTTCATTATTCGATAGATAAATATGTAACTCAATAAATTATATAAATAACTATGATTGAATGTAGATTGATTCGTTCATTAAATTTTTTCTTTCTTTCTTTTCATAAAACAAACGAATAGATTAATGTGATAAAGAATGAAAATAGAATCTAGTTGAAAATATTAAAAAATGGATAGAATTTGTCAATAGTGGTGTTATGTTATCAGATTAAATATAAAATTTACAGGTTATATCAAGAACTGGTCTTAGTTAGAAAACTATTATAAATCGTGAAATACTAGATATCTGTTTCGTTCAAGGATAGGGCTCCTCAGAGTGTATATAAATCCTGAAACTTAGGAGTGGACTATAAGTCTTCAGATGTCGTGAAGGGTGCTTAACCTTTAGACACATGAATAGATATCTAGTCATTCTGCAAGTCTAATTTCAATAAACTCGTAATATATAAGGTTGTCTACCCGAAGTTTGTGTTGATGATGTCGTTCAGAAGGACGATGAAAGCTCCATGAGCAAACCATCCAGCTCAGAGAACAAAACTCCATCAAAAAAGTTGTTTACAATGTGTGACTGAAATGATGAATCATGAATCTCAGTACTTAAACGAAAACTTGATCAATAAAATTCAATCAGTAAACGATTCGGTGCACTGCATGAGTTCATTTACAGGTCAAATAAATTGAAGTTTATGCTATATGAGTGGATGTATTTAATAAAAGGCTTTTAATTCCATACACTAAAAGACTCGTCTACCTACTATCAGAATATAGATCAATTTATTTGAACCAATTACAAATTAAACATCTACAATGCTAGTAAAAAAAATGATAGACAGGTTTAATATATTAAGCAAGTATGAAATAACTTATGTTTTCATATAGCTAAATTCAGGATGAGAGATGTCAAGGTGGGCGGAATATGTTAAGTAAGTGAATTATTCAGCCAGCTAAAGCTATCGCTCACATACATCTAATTGAGATAGATCGGTATTATCTCTAAATGCACGCATGACTTATGAAAATATTCTTTCTTACCTTTGGAAATTATAGTACCTTACTGACTCTTAGTTTTCTTGCTGAATGTAGCCACTTAAACAAGCGTTAGGAAGCATAAATAAGTGATTAAGTTGTATCAGAGAAAAACAAGGTTTACATCATGTGTTGATACCAACTAACAAAATCATAGAAGACTTATGAGCTTAGGATATTTGTTTTTTTATTATCATTAGCTTTATTCAATATTGTATTTTTGGTATAATGTAGAATTCTCAGCACAAAGTATTTCAACAAAATTCCATTTCTTATTTCTTGATCGATCCTGACGACAAATATTGAGTGATCACCAGTTAGAACTTAGAAGTCCAGTCAGTCGACATCTTAATGATGTACATTCTTTTTGTTGCATACTGCCAGCAACCACGATATCTGTGATTGGGATTTTGTAACTTTTACAACGAAAATTTCTACACTTTTCAGAAACTCCCCTGAATAAGTTATGCGACTAATAGCCATAATGATGCATTAAAACACACAAAGTTAGATAACTTGTTGAAA